GACATCCTCATGTGCAACATGCCAAGTAGTTGCATGCCAATCCTGCTGCAAATAACACATACGTGTCTGTGTGTAACGTATCTGAGGATATAAGATACGCCAGTAAGCAAGCAGGCAAGCAACAATAAACGGAAAAGCAATGAAAATGGCAATAGTTAAAACCAAAAGTAAAAGCTACGCCAGCAAAAATAATATTAAGATCCTTAAACGCTGGTTTGAGTTCCTGTCGAAATATGTGGCAGTGAGAGTGTAATGAAATTCTACAAACATCCATGAAATTGTGTCTGGTGAAGTGTTTGCCATAGTAAAAGTGTTAGTCAGAGTGATGTTATCCCAATTCGCAAATTTTTTAAATTTTCGCCAAAGATATTTAAAAAGTCCTGATTATGTGTCAGGACGATCTACTAGACTTAAGCTAGTCTATTTAAGAGTTTGAAAATGTGAGAAGTTTGAATTACCTTTGGATGTTGAAAAATTTATCTTTGATTTTGAAATGTTGCATTAGGTTGTCCAAGTGATCCCGATCCTAAACAATCCTGAAATATTGTATTGAAATCCTGATATATTTCAAAACAGAAACAGTTTCTTCAATGAACGATTTTAAAATGTTAGATTAGGTTGTCGAGGAAGTTCTGATCTATTTCTGCTGTGTTTTCTAATAATAATTCGCTTAAACGAAGTACAAAGATCAATTCATGATATACATATGCCTGTGTTATTAAAAAAACCCTTAAAATTTCTCATTCAATAAGTTTAATAAGTTTATTGGCGAGAAACTGTATAGAGTACTGATTTGCATTCTGATATGAATTGAGAATTAAATTCGCTGTGTGGTATACAGTAACGAATTTCGTTAGTTTCTCTAAAAATTCTCTTAAAAAGTGATACAAATGAATATTTTCAAACACAAATTCAGGCAAATATGACGGGTGTCCCAGCACATCTCACCCACGTTTTAATAATATTTTACGGATTATCAAATTTACATATGTTCTTGAGTTGTCCTTATAAAACACTTCTTCTTGACAAATTCTGAATATATTGAGTATTGGATTTCTTCGAAGTCTTTATACAATTGCCGACAACACAAATTCATATAATTACTTTAGTAGCTTGATAGGAACAGTTTTATAAACTCGTTACTCTGTCAACATAACCTTTCTGTGATATGTCACTGCTTTCGATATCGTTTCAGATGAATCAATATATAAGGACCAAGACTCTTGCCTTAATAAAATGATTATTTCTTCATGTTTTTATTTTGACTTCTCAAAATTTTTTTTAGAAGTACAATATATACCTTGAAAATACTTTTATGT